AGTCACACATAGTTATTGAGATTGCATTCATTGTTTTTCCCTCTATAATTTATAGGCGCTTGTTCGCTCAGTGGGGAAAAAAACAACAGTACTCAAATAGAGGCTAATCTTTACGATGATCACATTTTAATTAACTTATAAACAGCTCCGCAAAGTTATGACATTTTACGTTYACAAGAGCGATTTCTCCTTGAAACGTTTTCCTTGACGAGTGAAAATTGTTTGTGTAAATTGAGTAAAATGAACACTTTTACWTGTCAATGAAAGCCAGCATTTTGACATTTTCTTGAGAAAGGAATTTYGACAAGGATAAAATTTGCTCGTTGAGACAGACAACAAGAAAAACGTTGAATCAAAATGAATAGCATTGAGAGGCATTAAGCGAATAACCTAAGATTATCTAGGAAAGCTTGTCACTCGTCTATATACTAGCAAGGAAGCTTGTTAAGGATACTTCTCAAGGAAAATTACTCGTGTAAACGCGGCTCTTTACAAAGAAATATTTGCAGATTCAGATTAAGGGAACAACTCAACACATGATGGACTTCTTGCTTGGCCAAAGGACTCTTGCTAAGCCAGAGAGCTTTGTATCGAAGTACAAATTTACAACAGACTTTTGCTCCATTGGAAGAATCTATTGATCTATCCCTACGAGTACATTGTATTTGTGTTAGCTAGAGTTCTGATATTGTTCTTAGATTTGTGTTAGCTAGAGTTCTGATATTGTTCTTAGAAAACAGTATTTTCTTTGTCCGATATTTCAGAATCAGACAGATCCAGTTTGGCGACAACTGCAGAGATACTTTTGGCGTTTCTGTAACAAATGAAACCAAGTTGAAATTAGAATGGTGCAATAACCTATATACCATAAAAATTCCACGATAAAGAATCAAGAGACGTTTGTCTTTCAGCAAGTTGAGCTTTGATATTGTCTAGTTTTTTTTGACAACAGCATATTTTGATATGACGTTAGCAGTGCTATTGATCACGTGGTATGACCAGCATGGTTCGTTCTGAATTTTTCATTACAAAATTTCAGGAATTTTTTCACCACTTTTGCAGAAACTATTTTTTAATATATGTTTGCAATCGTTTCCGTTGACATATTTTTTAAAATTTYAATCCAAATAGGCAGTTTTATCAGATTCACGGAGTATTTTATGAGTTTTAGCATTTTATGGCTTTTTCAAGTGCCCTACAAGCGATTAAAAAAACGCTAACGTTATCTCAATATTTGGACAAAACGCACCTTTTTGTTCGAGATTTCTTTGCAGTTGAAACTCTAGAGATAATCAATTAATAAATTAATCAGATGGTTAATTTGTAGATCGTGATATTAAATAAATAAATCCACTTTCCAAAATAAACAGTGTAATGATATATACCTTGCAGCCAGTTTGTAAGCAGTATTTGCCTTTTTCGTTCTTGTAGCTTTGGCTTTTGGTGTTTTAGCTGACAGTGTCTCTTGTGAAACTACTCTCTCTGTGTGGTTACAGAAGATTGCGGGTAAAAAAAAAAACACATCGATATCGTTGAAAAAGATGAGAATGACAGTGGCCCTTTCCCAAGATGTTGCTTCTGAAGAACCAAAGCAAGGCTTTGGCTAGGTCATAAAACTTTCTCGTGTTCACCGTAGAAAATTGCTGTGCAAGCAACAACGTTACGCTTTCACAATCGTATTTTTGCTGCAAAGTGTTTACTATAAACTCATATGTTTTCAGTTAGAGTCTATTTCGAATGCTATTTTGGCACTGCATCCGCAGTTTTCATAACGATTTATCTCTGGTAATTTATGAAAACTTCTCTTGATTCCTTCGACGATAATTCCTGAATAGACAAGACAAAGTCTAAATACAACACTTTTCCCTTTGATTTTTTTGATTGTTTAGCAATTTTCTTCATTTACTGTGAACATGTGGAAATGTTACAACCTAGCCAAAGCCTCGGTTTTGCTCTGCAGTACCAACATCTTGGGAATCGTGGCCATTATATGATAAGCCTCCTTCGCAGGCTCCTTCTTAGGAAACGGAATTTCCTCTCCTTGGTCTTCCTGTGTTGATTTATCCTGACGGAGACAAACTGATGCTGAGAGATTAGGAACAATGAATAGGAGCTCTCTTTCCTAGCCCCTCCCTCCTCCGGCCGATTTCCACAGGATTCCTGCGGAATAGAATTGCCTACGAAGGAGTCTAAATCATCAGTGATAATTAACATGGTCATCAGCCAATGAGACCGCGTAGTATATTTTATATACACATGTACATGCTGTTAAACTGAAAAGGCAGAGAGAGGCTTATCGATCCCACTACATACCATGAGGTTCTTCTATATCAAGAGTGTTGCTATGGTCTTTGAGCCTGTCTGACTGGCTTTGTTCATCAGTTACTGTATTATTATCACTGGTATCTTTAGCTTCATCGTTACATGACTCTTCCTGATTATGAATGGATGATGAGGAAGCGGCACTACACTCATCAACAGTAGCTTCATTGGTTTTGTCTTCCTGGCTTGTTTCTTCCTGGACTTCTTGCCGTTCACCTGATCAACAATAATAAAGATTGCGACAATACGTGAATTCATTAGCCGGCATACAGAGAGCATTTCGACTGAATGGAGGCTAGGATTCACAATACTTGCATGGATTCTACCGCACTGGTCACACTAGTCATCAATATTTTGTCGTAATGCCATCTCAAAAACGCAATAGGTTTTGCTAACAATAAATACAGTTTCCACTTTAAACAATCTAAAAAGACTGGGRTGTTAATGTGTAAACGAGGCCTGATAGAGATTGAATGACGCACCTTGATTTGTGGTGTCCATTTGATCAAGTGTCTTTTGAAACTTGTCAATCAGYTTTGTACACGCGCTGTCCTCTACAGCCTGAAAAGATTAAATGAATTAATGATTGAGGGGCTTGTCTTACATAAATCACTTTTTTGTGGTTTATATTGTTTATAGTTTAGTAATTTCAACTGTTAATTATAATGTAGTTTTTTTTACCGTTAGAATATAAAAAAAGAACAAAGTTCAAGACCTCAATCGTCATTATCTTCCCGCCACTGTCTTTCTGGAGGTTACAGGAGAACTTAGAACTGTGATAATGTCGTCAAGGACAGTGAAAATAAAAGTGRTAAAAGCCTCTAATATGTGCAATCGAAACATATTAGAAGTATTAGTAGTATATTTCTTAGAGTACTTTTGATAAATATATTTTTATTCATTTTCACGTGAAGACGCAAAGCAACTTAAAGCATTATTTCATAAACACTTTTAGGGAAATAACCATTTTTACTTTGTTTTCATTTAGGCGAGACATTATACGTTAAATATTTGAAATAAACAGTCGTTCAGATCATTTTGTGTTTACAAAGCATTCCCACGTGTTTACATGTTATTTACATGGTACCTCAGTTACCTGGAATAATTGGTMAGCGAGTACTTTGAGATCACCAACACTTGTCTGGTCACAGCCCTCTAGGTCTAATAGTGTAAGTACCTTACACAACACACGGGTACCAGGTGCCTTCGGGTCGGTCAGGATCTCATTGGCTACTTTTAATGCTAATGCAACATGACTGCATCCCTAGGAAAACAAAATGGTTACTTTGATTCCTTTGTTTTCGATTGTTCTAATATTCCCGTTTCGAGATCTTATTTGTGCAGCCTTWACCTCGAAAGCATGTAATATATTCTTTTATTCAGAAGAGAATCTATTGAAATGCAAAAACAATAAAAATTTATATTAAGCTTGATTGAAGCTAAGCTTGCACAAAAGAGAATTSGAAACAGGAATATTTACTTCCGGCTTCCGTYGTAAGCAAAGTGTGGTCTCTGTTAATGTCTGCGCATGCGTACTGCGTATCTGGTCTGGGATCAAGACGCTAATAGTTGTTAAATCTAATCTTTTTTCACAACTGTTTCTTTAGAAACACCGCTGCAGCTCACACTAGTTTGCCGCTAGTTCCCACCAATGTGTATCTTGTGTATCAAAGCATGAAGAGAGTTGTTGTCCTCGCACTTTTTATGTCTGCTAATAACAGTCTAACTACTAAACAGTTTTTGTTTTTTCTGTATAGAAATATATTTAGTTGTGTCGTTTCTGAGAAGAATTTTAGGGAGGTTTTTATGGCCTATAAAAAAAGTGAGGACTAAAAGCCATCATGCTTTGCTGCACAAAATGACGTCACTGCACATTVTCTATTGTAACGATGGCGAGACAGAAATATGCGAACACATACTCAGCGTCAACACTTTCACACTTTGTGCTGTAAAACAGTGATGAATACTTGCACAATAAGACAGGGGTCTCACCGCTTTGGTCTAGGTTCGATTCCCGGGTACGGACCATATGTGAGTTTGAGTTTGTTTGATGTGTTGTTCTCATTCTTGCCACGAGGGTTTTTCTCCGGGTCCTCCGGTTTTCCTCCCTCAGTAAAAGTCAACATGTGAGATGTGTTGTGTGCTAAAATACTTAACGTAGAGGTAGTGAGTGTGAGAGTATAGGGCTCGCAGTAATGGGTGCAAGCTGTTGCGGTGTCCCTGCCCAAACTAGGGGCAAGCTAATAAAAGATACCATGAMACTAGTGGTAATACAGACCATATATGGCGATAATCACATGACTGGGGAAGACGTTTACCTCTGTGGTGGCAGTCGCAGATTGATTATTCAAATGCTTGCTATTTGTGAGTTCGATCAATAGTTCGGCTACATTGTTGCTGTTTATTGAAGCAAGAGGTGAGGACGCAGGAGCACTAAACAGCGTTTTAAGRATGGGAAGAAAGGCTTCTTCTACTAGCTCTTGATTTGTCCTGAAAAGGATTGGTGAATTAATTCATGCAAATAGACTACARACACTGAAAACGTGAAAAAGTACAAGAGTAAAGTCATTAAACGCATGAAACGAAACTTGAATATTAAAGTGTATATTCAAATAGACACAAAAAAAAAACAATGCATGATTAAAGCGTACAAATGCTCCGTTTACACTTGCGATTTTTGCAGACCGATTCTCGAGTAGATTGTCGCGCGACCAATGCCTGAGTTTCGAACATGCTTGAAAATTGGCTGCAACGTCGCGCGCAACAATCGCAGGACTGTTTACACGTACGATTTGTGTTGCGCGATAGCAAGGTGTAAACGGGCCTTAAGATGTATTAGTGTAATACATATTTGAACATTTTATAATGTAAAGAGTGTGCCAATAAGGTCATACAATTCCTTGAATATTGTAATTATTGGTCAAATCAATCAGAAAAGTTACTATGACAATACGACTCGTTAGATACCTTGAAGCAAAAGAAAACACAGGAAGAAAGACTCCAATACAGTGCCTTAAATGACCATCTTCTTCAGTAGTTGGATTGTACCAYAAAAGAACAAGCCGAGACAACAACTTTGCACTTAACACTCTCCCTGACAGCAACARTTTGGCCAGTCCTTCAGCAGCAACATCTCTGATGTCATTGCACTGTAAAATAAGGGAATTGACAGGATCTGTTAAATTAAAGACCTACGTGTATCCAAGGATCTTTGCGGCGAACGATCGTTTATTTTATTGTACAAATGATCTCTTGTTGAACGTTACTCTGTGATTGGTTCAAAATCAATGATGGCGAGCTAGCGCTTTGGTTGAAAAAATTGCGCAAGATAGAAATACATGTACGAGACTAGAATGGCACTTATCACTGTTTTTGCTTATTTGTACAATCTATTGTAAAATTCAGATGTCATTGATGACAAACATTTACGTCGATTTTTGCTCGTAACGTAAGTGGAGATGGAAAAGGAATGCGCTTAAAAACGTTTGGAATGTGTGAGTTAATAAACGGAGAAGAAAGCAAGGAAGGAATAGTGAAAAAAGCGGTAAAGGGAACAGAATTACAAATCTTCCGTTCAGTCGTCTTACTGCTTTCGTCTTTCAGCCTGCCTTCATCTACATCACTAGTGAAAATGACAGCATCTGAAGATGTCCGAAATATTTGGTTGAAAACTATATATGAGGATTGACAACACAGGGAGACGAAAATTAAGATCCCTTTGATGCAATGAGTGAATGAATCGCTGCTTTTGGACGTCTAGATAATTCCGCCGAAGCTAAGACTAAAGAACCCTTTGTGATGAACTCTCACTATATATTAAACTGGACAATATGTGGTCCTTTTAAATCCTTCGTTCTCACTAAAAGTTACAGCGGCCATCTTGGAGGAACTTCAACAAAGGATTTCTCAATAGTATCTATTGATCATTCCTCTAACATAAAACTATATAAATATTAGGCTGGACAATAAGCGTAGCAGTCCTTCTATCTTTTTTCACCAATTCCTGGCTTGCAAGTTACGTCATCGCCGCTATGTTGGATGAAAATCACAAAAGCATTCCTCATTAGTTTCTCTTGTTCATTCATCCAACATGGCGGCGATAGCTTTGTTCTTTATTTCTCAGGGGATTTTTGGTCACGTGTTGCACACCGAGAATAACATCCTAATATCGACTGACCTCACTTTCCAATAGTCCTGTTAAAATGTTCAGCACACTCATGGCAGTTGTATCAGGCGCATTGTTGTTGTCCCCTGCGTTCTCATTTGTCTCTTCTTCATCGTCTGGACTATCAGTAGATTGCTCTGCTTCGTTCTGGTCCTTGTTGAGTAGGTCTTTAGTTGGGTTCAGTTTGAAAGCTTCAAGACCAAACTTAAGAAGCAAATCAAATACAGTCT